GTCATCGAATTTGATTCCATAGTGGTTACTCCCATTGTTTCTTCCTTGGTATCCTTCCAAGTCCTGTGACCATTATCCAATTCATATTATGGTAGGACTTGCCAATAGATTTGCCTGGATTATATTTCTCTTCTCCGGATTTATTTTGTCTTTTCTGTGCATTTTCCTTTGTATTCGTCACCTCATCCTTTCCCTGGCTGCTCATTTCTATCATGTGTTGGAAGACTTCTTTGGTGACAGTATGTGGACTGCTCCCCCCCCCTACCTTTACGGCTTATTATCTTCACTAATTGGCAGTTTCTTGTTCCAGTGGATTTTGTCTTCCTCCAGTCACCAGTTTGCACTCCTCTGTGAGTGATAAGTAAACAATTAATTTTCTTTTTCTTTGCAGGGGCTATTCTCACATATTTGGATCCTACTGTGTGGTGATTGGTGCCTGACCAGGTATACTTAGTCTTAAATCTGCACTGTAAGACCTGTGATCAAATACCGTGACTGTGACATTGAGGCTCTTCCTACCACAGACCTGATGTACTATTCCAGATGCTGCCAGGTTTTGGTTGATTGACTCTGTCAATGTGTTATCTATGTTTTCAAAATACAGTATCATAACACATTACTAGGTCATGTTACACCCACCATTGAGATAAGATGTTCCTCAGGACCACTCATAGAAATACTTTGTACTCTTTTGCTTCATAAATATGTTCCTCCTTGACCTCATGTACTAATGTGGGTAAAGCAGACACGGATCACTGCCCCTCTATGATGATCTGTGGTATTTGACACTCATCCTACCACAGACATGATGTACAATTGTAAATGCCACCAGGTGTTGGATGGTGCACTCTGTTAATGTGATAGCTCTGCTTTTCAAAATAGGATATTGTGGTCAACCATTGCACTGTCTACAGTGCTGCAGTCCTCCAGACTCTCCATTACATTATTTTCCTTCTTCTAGTGGAGTATGGGAATTCTTGCCACTTACCAGTTCCTAACTAATGGGTGGTGGACCATAGAGGTCTGTCCTCCTGAATGTGTACAATACCTGATGTTTAATTCTAGATGTTGCCTGGTGTTGGATGTAGCACTGCCCATATATTTATACAGATATATATATATATATATATATATATTGCAGCTTGCCCCTCCACCTGAGGCACCCTCCTTCCTACCATCCACCAGATGTCGGTTCCTTGGGAGCAGTTGTTGGTTGGAGCTGTACCAGACTCGAGTTCTCACATGTGTTTGAATGGTTACCCACCTTCTACTGTGGATTGGACAATAAATTTCCATTGTCACCAGGTTTTGGACTGGAGATTCACCCCATATAGTCATCCCTCTTCCTACCTTCCACTGCATGTTGGTTCCCAGTGAATCTGATGTTGGATGTAGCTGGATGAGACATGTATTACTATTGATGTGAGGTTGGGTAACCTGAGGACTGGATGAAGAATTCCCAATGCTGCTAGGTTTTGGACTGGAGATGAACACCCACCTGGGACCTTCACCTTCCTACCATCTGTCGGATGTTGGCTTCTGGTGGATCTGGTGTTGGTTGTGTTGGAGGTGGGTGATTGAGGAGGTGAGTTCTTGGTATGGAAGCATCTCTTCTCTGTCGATACTTATTCTTGTGAGGGAAGGTAGAGGACCCTATTCCTCTTGTGAAAACTGATGTACAATTTCAGATGCTGCTAGGTGTTGGTAGAGGTTGAACTCCGATTCAAGGTCTGTTCCCCTAACTACTCTACACCAAAGGGTTCCATTATTTCTGTAACTTTTCTTGGATCATTCTTTTGTTTCCACCCTTTTTCATGACACATTACTAATGGGCGAAGTGTATTATACCTGACTCATAAGCGGTGCAGTCTTCCATGGGTGTGTGTGTGTGTTTAGTTTCTTCTCAAACCTCATGGTTTCTTTTGGGTGCTTCCTAAAGGAGCATCTTCTTCTCACTTGCCCTCCACCTGTTAAATGTGAGATTTAGCTTTTTCTGAGTGGAGGTAAGGTGTATCGTAAGTTAACATTTTCTTAAACTGAAAATGTGCTTCTGATAGATACTTACCTCTTCACACATTTCCCACTCGTCCTCTCCACTTCTGGTGTGGTTTGTGTGATCTGACCAATTTCAAAGTAGTTAACAGCTGCAAGTTTAGACGGCACTAATTATGATAGGGGTAGTGTTGCACTCCTACTGGTGGAGGGTTGCTGCATAATCATTTTCATGTTAATAACCAGATACCTCTTGTTAACATATGTGAATGTATGTGTAAAGGATCAAGGCTAGTGTCAAGCAAAAATTTGCACTGATAGAGGGCAGTATAAGTCAAGAAAGGTTTTTGTGAGGAAAGGTAAGTATCTATTGGAAATAGATTTTCAGTTAGGAAAATGTTAACTTTGTTAAACTTGGTATAGTCTTTTCACTATCTTTATAACAGTGCATATATATCTTATTTTATTTCATAAATCAACTTTCAATCATAAGAAGGTAGTAAAGAGAATCTTTCTTTAAATATTGGGAACTAGACTTAAGTTACAGGACTTTTCTTTATTTGAGTTTTTATGAGATATTGTACTGTAAATATTCTGATGTTTAGGTTGTCCATCCCTTCTTAGATTTTTACCTTTAAATAGTTAGTCATAGGTTTTGTTTTCTAATAGTGATGGGGTGACCAAATTTATTATTCTAGATGGTTTTCTTTGTGTTTTCTTTATTTAGATAGTAAATTTTCAAGCTTAATATTTATAGTTTTTTCGTACTAATGCTTACTATGTTGAAAAGTTTTTCTTTACAAAAATGGTGTGATCAGACTTGTATTCCTTTTCCTTTATATAGTAATATGGTGAGAGAGCATCTCTTTCCTCAGTTAGTAACTTGCTTAGATCCACGTTACAGGAAATTCATTGAATAAAATAGTAAAGTTTCAGATCTAGCTACTTGCTTTGTTTAATATTAGAATATATTTTTTTCTTTACATTGTAGAATGCTGGGATGTATATTAAATGGCATTTCTAACTGTGATGTACTTAGAATATCCTAGAGGATGTTTTTTCCCCATGAGAAGTAATATTTTCAGGACTAAAGTGAAGGATATTTCTTTACATAAATATTCAGATGTAAGTTAGAGGATGTTAAGTAATCAGACATACGTTGAGGGCATTTCTTTACTTAAGCTGTGATATGCTCGTACAGATTTTATATTATAGAAGATAGAGGGCATTCTTTACATAACTAGTGACTTTCTCCAAATATATTAGATAATTGTTTTTCTTAAAAGATGAATGTTCAAACTGTGTTAAAAGATTAATTTGTACTTTAATATATACATTTTCAGTCTTATTGTATAATTATAATTTTGCTCTATCAGATATTCCTCCACATGTTCATAATAGGGTTCTGTGATGGAAAAGGTATTTTACTTGGAATAAAAAAAACTACAGTGATGAAACATTATTTTGGTGCTGATGTGCATTAAAGCTTGGGTTTATCATTTTAGGTCAAGAATTCAAACAGAACCACACCTTCATATGCGTTATGAGAAAACAGATTATGGCTTAATGTGTTCTGCATCTGGTTATAAGGCCGGTAATGGGACAAGCTGCTATGGAGATTTTCTGTCATCATTTTACAGTAGGTTAGTAGTACCTTTTATGTATATGCAATATATTATTTACAATATGTTTAGGTTAGTAGTACCTTTTATGTATATGCAATATATTATTTATAATATGTTTAGGTTAGTAGTACCTTTTATGTATGTGCAGTATATTGTTTATAATATGTTCTAGGTATATGTAGTCTTTTGGCAGCAATACTTTTAACGTACATGTAGTGTCACAAAATAAATTGTACCTCAATTGAAGATGTTTTATTTCACTTAATAGTTAAATCTGGTTAGGTGTTGATGCTTGATTTTATTATACTGTTAAAACTTTGTGACAATCCTAACATTATGCAAGTTTTTGAACCCCTTGAAAGAAACATTAATTTTACCAGTTGCTAAAAGTAAGATAGGGAGTATATAAAAATTAGAAACCTAAATGAATAATAAGAAGTATGCACAACTTAAAAATTTTTAGTCAGTCAAAGGAAGGTTAACCTTTTACATTAGAGAGAATGATTGGCCAATGAAATTACAGTTTTTGAGAAACATTTAGGTAAGTCAGGAGCATAAATTATAAAGCAATGTAATGGAATACCAATATAAATGTTAAATCTTGAGACTTAAGGAGTATTGTTGTCTTTGGCATAATTTCAGTTTCAGAGACTGAAATTGCCATTCCCAGTTGAACAGAGTATTTTCTTGCATAATTGTTTTTCAAAATATTACAAACAGAAGAAGTATCTCATGATAATCTTTGTAACATTAATTTATTCACTAAAATATTAACTGGTGACACTTTTCAACTAGGAAAATTTTAGAAGCAAGGCTACAGTTTATTAGACCACCTTAATATTTTTCAACCGTGGAATTCATAGTCTATCTGTCTGCAACAAACTTTCAATGTAGATTAATATAATTTGTTAATATAAGGAAGACATGGTACTGAGATTACCTACTAGTAATTATATACTTTTCAAGAATCACAAGAAGATCTGTTTAAGCACAGAAATATCATGTAATTAGATGCCATTATATTATGGGCACAAGAATCAAGTGAACAATCAACAAATTCACTATTGATTTATGAAAGAAGTCAGTTAAGTCCTGATATGTATTTTGGTTTTACATGAAATCACCCGTCAAAATAATGAACATTTATAAAATGCTTAATTTTAAAATCAATAAGCTTTGTTACACACCACAGACTACAAAGAAAAATAATAATTGCATTGTAAGAATATCAAAAAGTATTGGTTTCACTAGAAAGTCATTCACCGAGGCTGACCAAAGATTTTTTATTCATCTATCTGAATTGTCTTTCAGGTGGTGCCAGTATAACTTGTAGACATCAAAAACCATAACAAAGTATTAAATTTAACAGAACTTGGTGTTAAAATAAGTACAGTTGTATTAATAAATTTCATATAAAAATGAAAATTTTGTTTTCTTAATTCATTTGATAACCCATAAGTATTAGTGTAGAAATACTATACCCAGAGATTAAATTGGGGAAAAACATTTTTAGACCAACCACATTGTATTGGAAAAAAAAATAAAACATTATGCACAATCCAATATAATTTGTAAATCTGCCAAATATTTCGTCCATGCAAATATAATGCTACTGTGACATGAGGTACAATGTTCATCCAAAATCCTAGCAAACATAATTTGAATTCTAGCTAGCTAATTTTTAGTTTTTGTTTCAAGTAGAGCTTTTGTTTTCAAGTAAGTTTGATGTTTTCATTTTGTTTTATTATAAGTTTTGAATTTTGTTTTTTATTCTTTTTAATCTTCTTCATATGCATTAGGCCAAATTTTGAATAACTTTTAAATGAATGATAGTGTACCCTCTAGAATTAAGCTTTATGATCCACTTCATGTTGATATCTCAGCTCTTAAGTAGAAGGGCATCCATTTATAAAAATCTCCATTTAAACAAGGTTTAAAAGTACACAATATTTGAAAAATGTTGAAGGCACCAGGCCTTACTAAAAACTTTCTAAATGTTTCACTGGGTCACAGACCCACCATCATTAGGAAGGAAAACAGCTTTGAAAAAACACATCAATATTTGTATCTTACTATTTTGCATAGTGCATGCATATTTACTGATAAACATACATGGTACTGCTACCTATGATTTCTCCTTAAAAAAGGATTCCTAGAATGAGTTTCTATAACTCCAGGACCCACACCTCTATTCCAAGTTACATTCAAGTACTTCTAATGATTATAATATATTTGGTTCATATTTGCTATTAGTATATTTAATCAACTTGATATCATTCCAATTAATACTATGGGAATAAGGATTGTTAGCTATGTTTTCTGCTGAAGCTAATTAATTTATTTTTTGTTTTTCAATAGCTTAGTTGTGCTCTTTAAGTAGTTGCATGTTTGGCTAATATAAGTTAGATCACGGTTACCTGCAACTTTATAAATGCCCCACATATCTACTAATGTAATTTTATTATTAAGACTAACCATAAAATGATTAGGTTTAACTAAGGTGAAATGTTATCCAACAGTTAATATATTTCCTTAACCACATTACCAATCAATAGGAAAATCATTGAATATATGGCAAACATACTTACTATCAACCTTTGTGATACCTTTGTCTAGTACACTTTGAAATTTTTAATCTGTTAATAATTGTTTTATAAAGTGTATAAATAATGTTACTATTAAATCCTCTGCCTGTCAGGTTTTTTTAAGTATGGATGTTTGGGCAGGATTCTTTATAGTAGGTGTCTTTGAGTTGGTGGTGGTAAATTTCAACAATAAACAAAAGGCACATGGTGTACTTGTTTTAAAATATTACATCAAAACAAGTCAACTGTATATACAAATATTTGTTGCACAGTTAATAACCACAGTTGAATCCAAATCTTTAAATAATTCTCTCTTTTTTTTTAATCAAAAATCCACACACGCTGGCTCAGTTACTTCATAACTCAATTGACAAAACAAATTCTTCTCTATTCTGTTATCACAATACAATCTGCGATTATTACACTTTAAAAGTTGCTACTATACACACACTTTATGGCTAAACTTACAAACACAGTCTAGATCTGTTTGACTATATCTCTCACTAACTTTCTCTTACTTACACTAACTTATTTACTTGCACTAACTTGATTTCTTATTTAGATACATATATATTGCCCAACTGTGGCCTAGAAATTTCTACAAACTATGAGATGTTATGATGTAACAAAACTCACTTAAAGCAACAAGAAAAATTCAGAAGGTTTGTGTAACATGACGTCAATTCACAACAGATGATTTGTAAGCAGCTACATAAACAAACTTGTCATAACTATTGCTTCTAAAAATAACTTACTTTAATGCTCACACAATATAAACTAAATAATACTCCTGTATTAAACTTAAAATGAACAGTCATGTATATTTAACATTGCCAATGGTAGTATGTTTTAAAAATTTAAATTCTGACACTAATCTTCTTTATATGAATACAACACCAGACATAAAAACTTTCACATTGGAGTAAATTGAATAAATAAATAACTATATATATATACAATTAAAACCACACACCTCAACAACCATCTTAAACGTTCTACAAGACTGTTACTCTTCACCAATTCTAACATCTTCTATGTAATGTTCATAATACTGCATATAAAAACTTTTGGTTTTAATTAAAACCATCCTCTAGCTCCTGAAACTATGACTTGATTGGTTATTTATGATTTTTCAGGTTATCAGTTAGCTAAAGTGGAAGAAAAGGTATTATCACAAGACTTAAAACTTTTTATCACTTCTAAAATATTAAATTATGTAGAATATTTTATAAATTGTTAATAGTTATTACAGAAATTAAAACATATACCATTAAGTGATGAAATTGTTTCATGTTGATAATATAATTACTGAAATTTCAACTTTAGTGGTTTCAAGATATTATAGATTGAACCCTAAGAAAGTTAAAAAAATTTATCTAAAGAAGAATTTTTGACTGTACAATGTCTTTGTGGTTAGAAAATTGTCCTGAACAGTTTAAGCCTTTATAATCTAGAATATATGTTGATGAAACCATTGTAGTTTTTAAAAATGAATTTCATATTCATAAATTTCAAAATTATTTGAATAGTCAACATAACAATATTAAATTTATAATTAAAGAACAAACTGTTAAACCTACTTTTTTTTAGAAACTAAGATTGTTAACTTAGGTAGAAGTTTGAGACTAATTGTTATCATAAACCAACATTTACTGGGCAGTATTTTTGTTCTGACAGTTTTTTACTTTTTGAATTTAAAAAGAACTTAATTCATAAAATTCATCTGGCTTATATTTAGTCCCTTTTCTGGATTTCATGGAGAAGTACAAAATATGCTATAAGTTGGAGAAAAATATTAAAATAGTTTTGAATGATAAATTTTATCTGCAAATTAAGTATAGAATTGTTTTCAAACCAATATATTGTATACATAATTAGTGTTTTAAATTTAAAGACAGAATTCTTATAAACATCACTCTCATATCATCTATAAATTTATATGTCCAAGGTGTAACCATGGCTATGTGGGCTCTACAATTTGTTGTTTGAGATTAAAAAATTAAGAGTATCTCCATATAATCAGTCTGCTATTCTTTGTCACCTCTTGCGAGACTGTAACATTAGAATTACTGCTGACAATTTCAGTATCTTTGAAAGTGCAACCAATGACAAGATGCTCTACACTAAAGAACATTTGTGGATACATGGTGCATCCTGAGTTGAACATAAACCAAAAAGCTTCCTCTATCCTTCTGATACTATGTATTGAGCATTGCCTGTGGATGGTTTAAGTAAAACTGAAAGCTTGCAAATACAGTATTGTTACGACAGCGGAAGTCATGTGACACTGGTAACACATCATGATATTCTAGTAGATTCACGTAGAAACGAGATGTGCGCTTTTTGTATATATAAGATCGGTAAGAAGTGACGGCAACAATGGAATTGAATTGCAGACAGAGATAGAGACGGACAATTTAGTCAAGCGCATGA